ACACCCGTGTCCCTGCCCTGCACACACCCACGAGTGCACACACTCACCCACACCCTACCCTGCCCTGCACACACCCGTGCCTGTACCACACTCACCCACACCCGTGTCCCTGTGTTCAGCCGACGCAGGCTGGCAGGTGGAGGTGAGGAGACGGACAGCTGCCAGTCGCCTCACCCGGCTCTCGTGTGTCCACTGTCCCCTTCCCTTGGCCTCCACTCTCCTTTCTCCTCTGGGGCCTGCCAGGCCACATAGGTGTCGTCTGCAAAGACCCCTGTCCTTAGAGTCACAAACTCCTCTCTAAACTGCTGATCGATGTGTTTTTCCGACCGTGAGAACAACTCAAAGCTAGCTACCGCACATTTTAGACGCTCCTTCGCCAGCACCCTAACGAAGTGCGGTGTCTCTGCTCCTGAACCGACTCCAGACTCGTTCCCTGGCCCTCCCGGGCTGGCCAGCCACACTACGCTGTTCGGACAGAGCACACAAGGGTCCTGGCTGGACCCGGAGCCAAGCCGGGTGAGCCGGGTCCAGACCGTGGGGCAGCTTCAATGCCGAGGGAGGGTATGGATTTGATTATTCTATTCCGGGGCCCCCCAAAGCTTTCAGAGCAAGGCTGTGATTTGGACAGAACCAGGAATCTTCTGGAAATCTTGTCGTCTGGCTGTTGCACAGGCAGCTGGCAGGAGAGGGACTCTAGGGTCTGGGCGACATTTCTGAGGGACAGCCGTCGGTGATGGGGAGGACTGACAGAGGAGGGGATGACAGCCCGGCCGTCTAGGGGGAAGCCAACTCCTCTCTCCTGGTCCGGAACGGTCTGTCATTTGCTTGGGACCATACCTGACACAGGCCATTACTGCTGAGATGGGGCCGGCCAAGGCCACGGGAAGGTCCGAGGAAACTTGAAACCAGCATAGCATTAAGCAGACACACAGGCTACCCTCCAGCAGGGCTCTCGGCCGGGCCGGGGTCTCGCTCAGGACCGCCGGAGAAGGGAGGGGCACGGGCTTTTTGTATTTGCGGACGTGGTACTCGCAGCAAACACATTCATGGGGTTTTTTGCATCGAGTGACAACGGTCAGCATTTACTGCATGTTGTGGGAAGTCCAGTCCTGAGCATTTTCTAGCGTATAACTTACATATTCATGTACATGCACGTGTGTGTGTGTGATCACACATACGCTCTTATGTACTCCCCACAGCCCCATGAGGTGGGTACTTTTACAGAGAGACTGAGGCAGAGAAGCAAAGTAGCTCGCCCAAGGTCGCGCAGCTGGGAAGGGGCAGAACCAGCAGCATACCCGGTGGGACTGAGGGGTCTACTTCCCGGAAAGAACGAGGGGCGCCTGGGTGGCGCAGTCGGTTAAGCGTCCGACTTCGGCCAGGTCACGATCTCGCGGTCCGTGAGTTCGAGCCCCGCGTCGGGCTCTGGGCTGATGGCTCAGAGCCTGGAGCCTGTTTCCGATTCTGTGTCTCCCTCTCTCTCTGTCCCTCCCCCGTTCATGTTCTGTCTCTCTCTGTCCCAAAAATAAATAAACGTTGAAAAAAAAAAAAAAGAACGAAACGAGGACACAGTGGGATAGCCCTCTGGCCCCAGCCCCACTGCTGACCCTGACGAGCTTGTCTAGGTCATCTTTTAAATGCACACCCCTCACGGGACACTCTGGGGAGCCATGGGTTTGCGCACTACCTTGCTCGAGGTGATGGTTTCCCATGTTTGTACGTGGGTCAAGTCTTACCAAATGGCACACTTTCATTTTTTTAATGTCTATTTATTTATTTTGAAATTTTTTTAAATTTTTTTTTCAACTTTTATTTATTTTTTGGGGGACAGAGAGAGACAGAGCATGAATAGGGGAGAGGCAGAGAGAGAGGGAGACACAGAATCGGAAACAGGCTCCAGGCTCTGAGCCATCAGCCCAGAGCCCGACGCGGGGCTCAAACTCACGGACCGCGAGATCGTGACCTGGCTGAAGTCGGACACTTAACCGACTGCGCCACCCAGGCGCCCCTTGAATTTTTAATGTTTATTTGTTTTTGAGAGAGAGAGACAGGGAGACACAGAATCCGAAGTAGGCTCCAGGCTCTGAGCTGTCAGCACGGAGCCCGGCGTGGGGCTCGAACTCATGGACTGCGAGATTATGACCTGAGCTGAAGTCAGACGCTTCACCTACTGAGCCCCCCTGGTGCCCCCAAAAGACATGCTTTAAACACGGGCACTGTGCCATATGTCAATGATATATCAATAAAGCTGTTTAAAAAAACTGATAGTACTTACAGGAGATTTAACTCTTTGTAATATTTCTACAGTAACTCGTATTCACCTTATGTGACCCCATTACAATGTTTGAGCATGCTGCATAAAATTCATGATTCATTTCTGAGTCTTAGCACTGCTTCAAGAACTTGGCTGTTGCCTCACAAGAGCAGAGTGCCTCCAGATTAAAGCTAAGAGCTGCAGTGGCTCAAGACACATTTTATAATCTGGCATTCCTGAAAATAGAAAAGTATGCAAAAGCGCTGTTTATAACAAGATAGTGGTTCTTCTGAAATAAAGCAGAAAACAAACGTCTATGTAAACGTGTGCCAATTTTTTGTAAAGCGCACTGCGTAGAGCCTGTTTGGCCTGCCTGCCCACCCAGAGCTCAACAGGACGCAGGCAAGCCCGGGAGACGGCTTGGGTCTAGTTCCACACCACCGCAGCGACGCGGGTTTCGCAATGATGCGCGTCAGAGTGTTTGGTTTGCACTACACTATAGCCTATGAAGTGTGCGAAGGCATTGCGTATAAAGAGCAACGTACACCCCTTGGGGCGCCTGGTGGCTCGGTCGGTTGAGCGTCTCTGACTCTCGATTTCGGCTCAGGTCATGATCTCACGGTTTGTGAGTTCGAGCCCCGCTTCAGGCTCTGCGCTGACAGCAAGGAGCCTGCCTGGGATTCTCCCTCTCTCCCTCTCTCTCTCTCTCTGCCCCTCCCCAGATCGTTCTCTCTCTCTCTCAAAATAAACGTTAAAAAAAAAACCCAGAATGTACATACCTTCATCTAAAAACGCTTTGTTGCTAAGAGAAATGCTAGTCAGGGGCGCCCAGGTGGCTCAGTCAGTTGAGCGTCCGACTTCGGCTCAGGTCATGATCTCATGGTCCATGAGTTCGAGCCTCGCGTCGGGCTCTGTGCTGACAGCTCGGAGCCTGGAGCCTGTTGGCTTAAAGTACCACCACTGAGGTTTGCTGCGTGAACCGTTTCTCTGTAGCAGGAGATGCTGACAGAATTTTACCCCCCAAACTTCTTTGGAAATGAGTTAGTCCTCTGAGGCCGCTTTCTCAACTCTGTTCCTGTGATGTTCTCCTTTCTTCACTGTCATTTCAACAACGGTCCTCAAGGCAACCTCACTGGGACTGGATCCCAGCTCAAGAAACCACGTTCCATGCTCATCCGTAAGAAGCTACGTGCCTGGGGGCGCCTGGGTGGCTCAGTCGGTTGAGCGCCCAACTTCCACTCAGGTCACGATCTCGCGGTTGGTGGGTTCAAGCCCTGTGTTGGGCTCTGTGCTGGCAGCTCGGAGCCTGGAACCTGCTTCAGACTCTGTGTCTCCCTCTCTCTCTGCCCCTCCCCTGCTCATGCTCTCTCTCTCTGTCTCTCAATAATAAATAAACGCTAAGAAAATTTTTTTAAAATAAAAAAAATAAAAAGCAGCTACGTGCCCGTCCGAGTTTCATCCTGAGGTGCAGCAAGTCAGGCGCGTCCTCGGGCCCCACTTGTGCCCCTGGTTCCCTGGCTGCTTCCAGCACATCCGCACTGACTTCCTCCCCAAAGTGCTGAACCCCTCAGAGCCCACCGTGAGGGCTGCGATCAGCTTCTGCCAAACTGCTGTTTGTGTTATTTTGTCTCCTTCCCGTGCACCAGCAATGGCATCTAGGAGGTGAACCCTTTCCAGAAGTCTTCCACTTGGTGTGCCCACGTCCTCAGAGGAATCACTGTCCCGGGCGGCTACAGCCTTGCGAAGTGC